ATCACATGTATATAGAACATTAAAAAAAAAACATGAGAATTATGTGACTGATATAGATATGATCATGTTTTGGTATGAGTATTATTTTATGATTCTATTTTGGTATGAGTATTTTTTATTACTCTGTTTTGGTCTGTTTGCATTGTTGAAAATCAACATTTGAAAGGACTTACTCAAACATTTTTTTAGTATCTTTTCAACAAATAAACTACAACAGTGGCCAATGTTTAATCAAGTACCAACTTATCCACATGTGATGAGATGGATACTTCTTATGATATTTTTTTCTTATTATTTTTTAATATTTTCAAAGAGAGAAAAGTTCTATAAAACGAATGTGAGTATTGAGTTTATGCCCGTCATATCAAGAACATCACATAATTCAAATCATATCTTATGTCATTCAAATCATGTTACATTATTCAAGTAATTCAAACAATATGAGATTTTGAATCATATGATGTGATGAAATACTTAAAAAAAAAGTGTTTAAACACAACATAATTTCAAATTTGAGTAATATAACCCACAAATCACATTAAACTACAAGAGTAAACAATGAATAACAAGTAAGATAAGACTTATTTTGGCTACACTTAAACATAGCGTTTACTCTTCTGCTTTCTCTTCCTTCACCTCACTGCCACTGGTTACATTAAAACAAAAAACACATATTACTATACTATAAAAACAGAAACCTTATTCCATAGTGTGTGTCTGTGTTGCTCTTTAGTATCAGCAAAACATTTCCTTATAAAAAAAGAAAAATCTTAACTATTTAATTTACCTTTGAGATCTGATCCATCTTGAGAGTTGGTACAATTGTACTGTCTCATTAGACATATGACATATAAGAAGATGTATGTTCCGCGGTTTCACCACCCAAGCAAACCGCATAAATATTCCCGAATAAAGACACATTCCTACACGTTTTTATTACAACCATTAAAACCACAAAGTAATCATTTACTTTGTTTTCTTTCTAAAAACGAATCGAAACGACAAGAGCTAAATCGAAGTATTGAGAATTGTTACCGCAATAGGAAGAAAATTATTGACCAGAACTAACCTGTAGTCATATTGACAGATATTTTTTCCGGTGGTTTCTGAGTATCCATGGCAGCCTAACAACAATTACGAAGTAATCATTTACTTTGTTTTCTTTCTAAAAACGAATCGAAACGACAAGAACTAAATTGAAGTATGAGAATTGTTACCGCAATAGGAAGACTCCAGTTGAAGGTAGGACCCCAGAAATGAGTGGTTTTAGGACCAATAGGACTGTTCCAAAATGACCGGAGCGTGTTCATATTGTCTCTCTATTCTTTTATAGCCTGCACAGTTGACAGAAAGATAAATATTTTTGGTTTCACCACTACCTGCAAATTATTGTATGATTTAGGATCTTAATTCAACCTATCTTGTTGATTGAATTCAACGGCAAAAATTTCGATCTGCTCTGTGAAAGAAAACCAGAAAGCTGAGAAGAATATCCTTTCAATTTTGATATGCAAGTCCATTTAATTAACTATATATTATCTATTCACCATGGTTGGCTGTGTGTTGAATTTACCAAATTATCCTTCTGTATTATATCATATCATATCATATCTTGCTCCATTAACCAAGACGCATTATTGTATATTCAATTATTTGCAATATTCGTAGAATCTTTTTTAAAAATAATAAAAAACTTAAACCTTTTTAAAACATAAAGTTGAAATATATATATATATATATATATATATATATATATATATATATATATATATATATAGAGAGAGAGAGAGAGAGAGAGAGAGAGAGAGAGAGAGAGAGAGAGAGAGAGAGAGAGAGAGAGAGAGAGAGAGAGAGGTAGGTAGGTAGAGACAATAGTATACTGTGTCATATTTTTTATCATATTTGATCTTCTTTTTACTGTTTAAATGTTTACATTGTTGTTAACCTTTTAGCCCACATGCATAAAAAATCATTTATATTAGATTTTTTTCATTAAATAATTAAGAAAGGTTATTCCTACATTGTTTTTACATCAAATACATATATTGTATAGTCTGTTTATTTTATTTTATGACGAGTAATATTTTTTTAAATAAAAATAATAATTTTTATGAATAGTGAATAAAAAATTTATAAATAATGTGTAAATAGTATTTATAAACACTGTTTGTCAACAATATTTATGAATAATAATTTTAAAGTAGTAAAATAAAATTGATTAATAAAATGTAAAAAATTGGTTAATGAAGTAATGAATTTGGTTAACAAACGTTCATATATTAAAAATAATTTTTAGTAGTGAATCATAATTAGTTAATGAAAAATAAAAAGTTGGTTAATAAAGTTATGAAGTTAGTTAATAAACGTTTAGATATTAAAAATGTTTTTTAGCAGAAAATAAAATTGGTTAATAAAATATAAAAAAATTGATTAATAAAGTTATGAAATTGGTTAATCACACAATTTTATATCAATATTATTTAATCTAAAAAAACATAAGAAATAATTTTTTATATATTTTTTAAATATATTATTATAATATTTTCCTGTTCACCGTATTTTTCTAACTAATTTTAGATTGTAAAACTAAATATATTTTTATTACAAATATAATAAGACCCTGTTTGATAAGACACATTTTCGAACTTATAGTTTATAGTTTATAAACTCATAAGATAATTTAGATTTGTTTGATAACGATCATTTCATCATGAGCTTATAACTTATTTATTAGACGCTATTTCAAATAACATTTTAATTTATAACTTATATCTTATCATATTTTCTTCCACTTTTATTTTTATTTTTTTAACAAAAACTCTTTTTTATCCTTTATAATTTATTTTAATTTAAAATAAAATAAATATGTACTAAATCTCTTTTACTCATTTTATATTTATAAATTAGTTGAACCCTTAATTTTAACAAACATTTCAATTAGCTTATCAATTATTAGTTATCAACAATCAATTATAAATTATAAGTTATCAATCATCGACCATCAACCATAAATTATAAACTAACTTATCAGTCACCTGATATTTTTACTATACAGAACCTAAAAATAGTTTGATATAACAAACCTCTTAATGCTTAAAAATGTTAAACCCGTCGTTCTGATTAAATCAAGTTTTAAGTGTATGTTTGTTCTTTATAACATATTATGATTAAAAAACTAACTAAATAAATATTTCTAACTTTCAAAGACAAACTTAATTAGAAAAGGAAAAACTTAATTAATTAGTAACAAAAACATTTTGCTAAAAAATATTATGCTACATATAATCAAAATCTTGTTTAAAATGATATTAGATAAATTATTGTACAAAATTTGTCCCATGTTTTTTTTTTCATCTTTAGGTTTTTAGAAAAAGAATCTTAATAATTTAGAGTTCGGTATAAGAGGTCATAAACCTGACTAAATATTATTCGTATTAAAAATCGAATTCAATATTTTTCGAATCTTCGTTTCTTAACAGGAGCTCGTTTACCACTCGAACCCAAATACTTAATTCACTTGTCGGATATTTTTAGAGACACATAAAATAAGTTATAGAGAAAAATTCAAAATTTATCATAATTAAACATTAAATAAATAGTATTTTACATAATAATTGTAAGGATTAAATTATAGCTAGATAATGATTTTATCTAATTTGTCACAATTGAACTGCAAGTATTCTATTTAGAACTTAAAGAAACTTTGCAAAGATCATGCAAATAGTTGTAACGATTAAACTATAATTAGACAATTTTTTTTATATCTAATTTATTATAATTGAACCACAACTAATTTATAGAATTTTCAAAAACTTACGACATTCATGCAAATAATAGATTAATTAAAAAGTTAATAATATAGTCACCTCTATCAATTGACTTCTTTTTTTTGAAGTAGAACAACAAATTTTCATGTCTTATTTTTTCAAATAATTCCAGCTCTTCCTTCATTATACATATCCTCTATGAATCACTCAATGTCTCTTTCATTTTTAACGATTCAGCCATAAATGCAAAATGAATAAAATCAACATTGTCATTTATTTCATTTTTCAGAAACAACCCGCTATCTTGCAATCTCACATACTTACTTTATTGATCTTCTCACATTTTCTTCAACTTTAACTTCACTTGTTGCAGTTTCTTTCCTTTCAAACATTGTAGTAACAATTCCAGCACTATTATAACCCGTAGATGCATAAGTTAAATTATGCTTCTAGTCCCTTAATTCATCAAAAATCATGTCCCTACTAATTACGATTCTCTTATTAACTGCGTCATAAAATTTGTAGTCACTCATAGAGTGATATCCAACAAACATCATTTGCTCTCTCTTATCGTATAGTTTCTTCTTAGGTTGATCAGGAACACATATATACACAACCGAACCAAATGCCTTCAAGTGACTCATATTTGAACTGAATTTGGACCATGATTCTTCGGGTGTAATATTTTTTATCTTCATTGTTGGACACTTATTTAACAAATACACAGTCGTGGACACCACTTCTCTCCATAACTATTTTGGCAAGTTCATCCCTTTTAACACGTTTCTCACTATTTTCATAATTAATCGATTCTTTCTCTCGACGACTCCATTTTGCGAAATGTATAGGGTGACACTGCCCATGTAGAATGTCGTCTTGAAAAATAATTTTATCATGAGAAATATATTTTGTAAAAAGTGACTAGTTTGATTAAAATCAACTAATAATATGATTTCAATCATGAGTTTTTTCATTTTAAATTTCAGCATTGTATTTGTTAGTTTAGATCAAATTTTGTGTCTTTCAAATCAAATCAACTAGTTATCCAATTTTTTATATCAGATTCAACTATTTTCAAAGTTAATTTGAATAAAATAAATAGTTAACCACTGACTTATTTAATTCAAATCATATCAAATGTCGTTGAATCGCATCATTTGAATCATGTCTTATGTCATTCAAATCATATTACATTATTCAAGTTAAACCATGTTTGATTTTGAAACATGGTGTTTACTCTTCTGCTTTCTCTTCCTTCACCTCACTGCCACTGGTTACATTAAACAAAAACACATTATACACAAAGATCCTATAAAAACAGAAACCTTATTCCATAGTGTGTGTCTGTCTTTACCTTTGAGATCTGATCCATCTTGAGAGTTGGTACAATTGCACTGTCTCATTAGACATATGACATACAAGAAGATGTATGTTCCGCGGTTTCACCACCCAAGCAAACCGCATAAATATTCCCGAATAAAGACACATTACTACACAATTTTATTACAACCATAAAATAATCAATTATTTTGTCTCGTTGAATAATCAATGTATCTGATAAATAAAATTTTTTTTAACAAAAACTAACCTGTAGTCATATTGCCAGATATCTTTTCTGGTGGTTTCTGAGTATCCATGGCAGCCTAACAACAATTACAAATTAATCATTTATTTTCTTTTCTTTTTAAAAACGAATCGAAACAACAAGGGTTAAATCTAAGTATGAGAATTGTTACTGCAATAGGAAGAGTCCAGTTGAAGGTAGGACCCCAGAAATGACTGGTTTTAGGACCAATGGGACTGTTCCAAAACGATCGAAGGGTGTTCATATTCTCTCTACTTTTTAGCCTGAACAATTGAGAGAAAAAAATTTTGTTTTTTTTTTAAATCTGAATATTCAGTCTTGCGAGTAAATAATAAGATGGAGACAATAGTATCCGATGTGATATTAGGTGTCAAAAATAAAATATTTTAATAACAAAATTTACATATAAAACATTTTTTTAAATGGAATGTTTGGAAATAGTGATGATAAATAAATAAAAAAGTTAATATATAAATCACCTCTATCAATTATGAATGTGTATTAGTGTGATTGTTTCATAAGGTGAGCCTTGATGGGAGAAGATGATTGTGAAGAGAAAGGTAGGATGATTTTAAGAGTGTTTTAGAAAAGAAATAATAGTTACTAAAGTGAAAAACATTAAACAACAAATATAGTTAATCTCATTGATTCCAGAAAAGAATGGAGGATGAGAAGTGTGGTTGTCCAAGAAAATAGCAAGTGCAAAGAATAGAGGGACACAGGTTTCAGAGTTTGGATAATAGTACTTGTCTTTTGGAAAAACTATTTAGAATAATTTTTTAATAACTTTTAAGAAATACTAAAAATAGACTTAAATACATGGTGAGATTCCCACGTGAAATTTTCAGAAGTATAATAAAGGAAAAAACATGAAGATAATGGATGCTGATGAAGATATGATTGAGGGGATTTGGGTGAATAATTAATGGAGACAATCAATATCAATTATGAGAACCAACCAAGAATTAAGTGGGTCAAGTGTCAACCAATCAGAAGTCTTTGGTTTGTAATGAGTCTTCAACTCATATTTATAAGATTATATTCGAATCAGACCAACTCATTTCATTGGAGAAATGGATAAGGGCATTTGACGGAGGATGTCGATGGGGCAACATGACAACAAACCTTGTGGAATCCATGAACGGCGTCTTCAAAGGCATTATAAACCTACCAATAACTGCATTAGTGAGATCAACCGATTTTAGGTTGACATCACTTTTTGCAACCAGAGGCGAACGATGAAATGTAGTGTTAATGTCAGGTCAATTATTCAGTGAATGCTACATGAAAGTGATGAAAGAGGAAACTATCAAAGTTAGCACACATGCGGTTACAGTCTTTGACCATTGTTGTAAATATTAGACTGTAAATAGTAATTAGTAGTATTAGTAATGAGGCCCATTAGTCAAAACCCATTAGGGTTTCTATTCTCTCTTATTTAAAGCATGTAGTTGCAACATTGTAAATAGAACTTTTAATTCTATCAGTGAAATATTTTACAATATGGTATCTCAGCTCCTGTTTTTTGGGGGTCTCGCTTCCGCATAAACCCTAGCCGCCGTTGTAACGGTGTTTTTTTTTCTTTTTTTCACTGCCGGTCATCTTTGCGGTTTTTTTTGGGTGTTTGGATCATTGCTGTTTTTTCATTCTATTGCAGTTCTATTGCAACCCTACTGCTTGTTTTTTGGTTTCTTTGTATTTTTTATTTGTGATTCAATACTTTGTTCCTCTCGATTGTCCCTTCAATGGCCGAGATTATTAACCAACAACCACCTCCGCCTCCACCTCCTACAAATCCACCAGTCCCATTTAATGCTAAGGATTTTGTCGTTCAAAAAGGTTACTGGCTTACCGGAAAAAATTATTTTCAATGGTCTCAGTTCATCAGACACACTCTAAAATGTTGTGACATGCTAGATCATATTGAAGGCAATCCTCCTCTGGTTACTGCTCCTAATTTCTCTTCCTGGGATAAAGATGATTCTGCTATTATTACTTGGCTTTGGAACTCCATATCTCCAGTAATTAGTAGAAATTGCATGTATCTCTCAAGTGCAAAGGCAGTTTGGGATTATCTTCGTCGAAGTTATTCCATGAAACAAGATATGTCTGCTTGTTATGATTTAAAGAGGAAAATATTCAACACTAAGCAGGGAAGTCTTTCGGTCAACGATTACTTTGGAGTTCTCAATGGTTTTTGGATTGAGTTGGATCAATATCAGAATTTGAAGATGGAATGCAGCAAGGATACTGCCACCTTGAATACTGTTGTTGAGCGGGATAGGATCTTTGATTTCTTAGCCGGCCTTAATGCTGAATTTGACCCCATTCGGGTGCAGATTTTGGGTAAGGAAAAATTTCCTGATCTTAATGAAGTTTTTTACACTGTTCGTAGTGAGGAGACCCGTCGTCAAACTATGCTTCATGAACAGCCCCCGGATGTGTCAGCACTAGTAGTTAGAAAAACAACAAGACAAGGACCACCATCGTCATCATCTAAGAATGGTCGTGGCAAATTCTATTGTGAGCATTGCAACCGATCAGGGCATACAAAGGATAGGTGTTTCAAACTACATGGAAGGGAACATGTTCTTAGCCGAGGAGGTAGTTCTCGCAACATGCACCAGCATCAGGCACATGTTGTCACACATGCCCATGATACTGACAGATTTGAAAAAGAGGGAACTGATCTTTCCTCCTTCAGCCAGAATGACGTGGAACGGTTGAAGTCTATGCTTGACTCCATGAGTAAGCCTTCTGGTTCTGGGTCTCTAGCAGTTACCGGTAAGAGTTTGTGTTCCCGATCTTTTACTGTTTGTGGTAATATCCCTAAGAATGCGTGGATTCTTGACTCTGGTGCTACTAATCATATGACATTTGATTCCACATTATTATGCTCTTATACCACACCTTCGAGTATTCCTTATATCACTGTTGCTGATGGCTCTCAGGCTTGTGTTGTTGGCACTGGAAATATTGACTTGCAACCTCCATTTCAATTGCAATCCGTGCTTCATGTTCCCACACTTTCCCACAATTTGATTTCCATCCATAAGCTTACCTGTGATCTAAATTGTAAAGTAACGTTTTTTATGTCCCATTGTATTTTTCAGGACCTTACCACGGGGAAGACGATTGGAATTGCTAAGGAAAAGGAAGGGTTATACTACTTCTCTGATGACCATCCAAAGGTGTTGTCCTCCTGTCTCCAGTCTCAGTCTTCCTCTTCAGCCTCACACATTTGGCTTCAGCACAAGCGTCTCGGTCACCCTCCATTTTATATCATTAAGTCTATGTTTCCGTCATTGTTTTTAAACCATTCTGTTGAGTCTTTTAAGTGTGATGTTTGTCAGTTGGCAAAACACAATCGTGTAACTTTTCCTTCCAGTTTTAATAAAAGTGCTGAACCTTTTGATGTGATTCATTCTGATGTTTGGGGACCTGCCCCTACCTCTAATATTTTTGGTGCAAAATGGTTTGTTTCATTTATTGATGATTGTACTCGGGTAACTTGGATTTTCTTGATAAATACTAAATTCGAAGTACCACAAATATTTATCCAATTTTATAATATGGTACAAACACAATTTGGGAAATGTATAAAAAGAGTTCGTTCTGACAATGGTAAAGAATATGTCAATCATACCTTCTCCAACTTCACTAGTAAACATGGCATTCTTCATGAATTCACATGTGTTGACACCCCACAACAAAACGGTGTCGCAGAAAGAAAAAACCGTCATTTACTTGAAGTTGCTCGATCTCTCCTGTTTCAAATGTCTGTTCCCACCTCTTATTGGGGGGAGGCAGTTCTTACTGCTGCCTATCTGATTAATCGGGTCCCATCTCGAGTGTTAGGTAATATTAGTCCTGCTCAATTTATGCTCTCACGTTTTCCCTCTGTTCCTATCTTACATAATCTTGAGTCTCGCGTGTTTGGTTGTGTTGCTTTTGTTCATGTTCACAAACAATATCGCAACAAGTTGGATCCCCGTGCTGTCAGATGTATCTTTCTGGGTTATGCACCCAATAAAAGAGGGTACAAATGTTATCATCCTCCGAGTCGGAAATTCTTTGTCTCCAAAGATGTCACCTTTCATGAAAATGTGTCATACTTCACTCATTCTCAGTCTCAGGGGGAGAACATGAGTGACTTAGAGTCTGAGTCCGAGTTTCTGATCCTTGGTCCTAGCCTCCCAAGAACACCTGTCAGTGTTCCCTCTCTTGAACCCGAGTTGTCACCTAGTTTGAGTTTGAGTCCTAGTTCAACACCTGAATCTGAGTCAGTAATTGTTCCTGGTCCTTCAATGCCTTATGTTCCACAGGAATCAGCACCTTCAGCACCAACTCTAGTATATCAGAGAAGAAGTAAATCTGACCTTCTCCAGAAACAAATTCAATCGTCTGAACCGGAGGTAAGTACTGAAAATGATTCCTCAAATGATGATTGTTCTATTTCTGATACTTGTGACACTAATCCAGTTGATTTACCCATTGCTTTGAGGAAGGATAAAAGATCTTGTCCCTCCTTATATTGACACCCTATCTCTCAATATGTCTCCACTAAACATCTTTCCACACAATATCAAAGTTTTATTGCAGCTGTTGATTCTGTGAAAATCCCATTATCAGTTGAAGAAGCATTGCAAAATAGAAATTGGGTCCAAGCTATGGATGAGGAAATGAGAGCACTTGAAAAAAATGGTACTTGGGAGATTATTGAAAGGCAAAGAGACAAAAAGCCGGTTGGATGCAGATGGATCTATACCGTAAAGTATAAATCTGATGGCACACTTGATCGGTACAAGGCAAGACTAGTGGCAAAAGGTTATACTCAGACATATGGTATTGATTATGAGGAGACATTTGCCCCAGTGGAAAAAATGAACACTGTTCGAATTTTACTATCTCTTGCTGCTTCATGTGGATGGGAATTGCAACAGTTTGATGTTAAAAATGCATTCTTGCATGGAGACTTAGAGGAAGAAGTGTATATGGAGATTCCACCGGGTGTTGGCATAACAAATGAAGCTAACAAGGTGTGTAAATTGAAGAAAGCCTTATATGGACTAAAGCAGTCCCCTCGGGCATGGTTTGGAAGATTCACAAAGGCAATGGTGTGTTTGGGCTATAAGCAAAGTCAAGGAGACCACACTTTATTTTTTAAACATTCACAGGAAGGAAAATTGACTGTACTTCTTGTTTATGTTGATGATATTATTGTTACAGGAGATGATTTGACTG